TCTCGCTGGTGTAGGTATAGCATTGAGTCGTAGGGCAGAACTAGCGCTCCTAGACTGGATCCCAGTAGATAGTCGTTTGTGCGCCATTCGACTGAACGGGACAGTAAGGACTCGGAAAGATAGGGACACGCGTCGTTGCCTCCTCGTTGTATCTGCCTATGCCCCCACTGACTGCAGTTCAGACAAGGTGAGGTTAGGAAATCTGAAGCGAGGGCGAGCTGCAGATCCTGATAGACTGACGCCTGAGATATTTAAGGATGGTGGTCCAGTTTTAGCAGTGGTCTCGATCCCTGATTGTCCCAATTTATAAGAAACGACAAAAGTCTTCTTGTGAGAATCACAGGGGAATAAGTGTAACTAATATAGTTTCTAAATTGTTAGCCTCGATTATAATTAGACGCCTTACTAGTGCTCGTGAAGAGCGGATTAGAGAAAACCAAGCTGGTTTCAGACCTGGACGTAGTTGTATAGACTATATCTTCACACTACGACAGGTCCTGGAACACAGACACACATTTAGACGTCCGGCAATAGTTGTCTTGCTGGACCTAAAATCGGCATTCGACTCTGTTGATCGTGAGGTTCTGTGGCAGTGTCTGTCATTGAAAGGTGTACTAAAGAAGTACATTAACCATATACAAGCTCTCTACTCGAACACCACTGGTCGAGTGAGAACCTATGGCGAACTATCATCGGAATTCTTCAATTCAAGTGGTGTCCATCATGGCTGTCCACTCTCTCCATTCTTGTTTAATTTTATCATAGACATGCTCTTAGAAATCACCTTACCCTCGTCTGAATTTTCAGGAGTAGACCTATTACCAGGAGGCTTACTTATCGACTTAGAGTATGCCGATGACATAGTCCTACTTGGTGAAGACGCTGACAAAATGCAGAAACTTCTGACCACCCTAAGCAACAATGCAAGCATGTTCAGGATGCGATTCTCCCCGTCGAAATGCAAAATTTTGCTTCAGGATTGGGTTGCATCGGCACGTGAACTAGTGATAGGGAGTGAAGTAGTCGAACGTGTAGACCACTTCACTTATCTTGGGAGTCTCATCAGTGCCGATGGCCTGGTGACTGACGAAATCTCAGCTCGGATACAGAAGGCTCGATTGTCTCTTGACAAGTTGCGTCACCTATGGCGCAGGCGAGATATCCGTTTGCTGACTAAAGGACGAGTGTACTGTGCAGCAGTTCGCTCCGTCCTTCTGTACGGATGCGAAACTTGGCCGTTAAGAGTAGAGGACTTCCGTCGGTTACTAGTCTTCGATCATTGATGTCTCCGAAGCATTGCTCGTGTATCATGGGACAACTGTATAAGCAATGCTGTCGTTAGGAAGCGAGTTTTGGGTAGGGACGGCAAATCAATAGATGAAGTAGTGAAACTTCATCATTTGAGGTGGTTGGGACATGTGTTACGTATGGCTAACCACCGACTGCCTCGACGAGCTATGTTTTGTGGTGTAGGAGTAGATTGGAGGAAAACTGGGAGCGGCCAAACCAAAACATGGCGCAAATGCTTGAAGTCACTGACAAGTGGACTGAGTCATGTTGGTAGATGTAGGCTACCTGGTTGAGATCCGCGAGACGACAGTCACCGATGGTTAGAGACCTTGAACGACATGGCTCAAAATCATTTGCAATGGCACAGGTGCATCCACTCTTTATGTTCTATGAAATTCTAAGCTTCTGCATTCCTCATTATCTCTACCTTTCTCCTTCTGAATTAATCTTACTGAAATATACTTCTCGAATCATATCTTCGCTCCCTAATCTTCTCCATTACTGCTAATACTTCTGCTATTACTATCACTCTTGGATTTGAACTGACAGTTGCGTCTCAGTGCTGATGTGGTATGGCAACCCGAACTGATGTACGTACGTACGAAGTTCTGCGTTGTATCTGTCTGTCTGTCTGTACCATAAAGTAAGCTTTAATTGTCTACCTAAAATTTTTGTCAGCATTTCTCTCTGAAGAAATGACTGACAATAATGCTTTGCTCTAAAATGTGCCTAATATGCTCAATACCTACTGATCAGTTTCACGTAAATGTTGACTTAAGACTGTTGAATGTCTCTGCCATCTAATCAGAACGATTTTATGCTCGAAAGGCTTCAAAAATTTCAAGGAATTGTTGAAAATTTCGGTCAGCAAGGAAAACAAACTAGGAAGATTTGAATGTTTGATCACTGTTCATCCTTCAAACTTCATGTTTCAAACGCATGGAATCACCTTAATCGAGGAGATTGACTCACTATACCCAAATACTCAGATTGAATTGATCCACATTTACTCCTAATAAATGAAAAAACAACAAAAGCATCCCATGAGCTACAATAAGTTACAGCCTTCAACTATGAAGTTTCCTCTTTAAAAATTTGCTGAACACTGTTAAACCAACATCGCACAAATAAACCGACAACAACTGCTAACCAGTTGAAATAACCGTTAGGACCGTTTCGTATACCAGTCATACAAACAAGTGAATGAATGTGACTAATTGTTTTCACAGTCTAGGTCACTTCGTTTTGATTTCTAACAACTAATTGTAGGGCAGTTTAAGGACTCTAAGAAATACTAAAACCTATGAAGATATAAAGATGCATACATGGCTTATAGGTGAGTATCATTAATTTTTATCAGCGTAGATATATTCCCTGGCTTAGTATGAAATAAATTGTATACATATACTGTCATATAATTCACTTATTAAAAATTACTCATGGCAAACGTTTACCATAAATTGTTGAATTAAAAAGACTAAGACATATTATACGTATCAGTACCAAAGTTGGGTTTAGTTTCAAATAAACTGAATATTCAGTGGAAATTTAATAATAATAAAATAATTATAATTTTTGATGATATCCCAGGGAGTAGAAATTTGTGTTTGTGACTTACTACAAGTCACTACTTCAGAGGATATAAATGAATAACCGAAGTAGGAAACAAAGAGGAATACCTTTAGCACAATGGAAATCATGATAGGTCTAAACATGTGATTATCATGTCTTTTTCAGTCAAGGCGATCCTGTGAAAGTACTGAAGTCAAAAGTTACCTAGACTAGCTCCTTCTTTCTGTATCCATCAATGTAATTACTTCTATGGAGTAAGTTGCATCGATAGATATTCTGGGAATTTGTATCTTCGTGATTACGAGTACTTCTCAGCGTGGTCATGTTAAAAAATTAGTTAAACCTGTTAACAGATCCATCCTAGCTTACCTGGTATAAAGATAAAGGGGCTATTATTATTAATATTATTATTATTATCTCTCACCTTGTTTTAACCATAATTATTCTGATTATCATTCATTGCATTTTACGTATAAACTTATTCAAATGAACACTTCATATTGGTCATCTCAACATTAAGGATTTATATGACAATTCTAAATTCATTCAGTTATATTGGTAGTTTGAATCTTCCCAATGATAGTTAGAACTGTAATTAATCAGTCTCATTCGGCATCTGTGCATCCTGTATCGATTATGAATCCGCAACCTACATGCTATGATCTTAAACGGTGTATTTCGCCTCAAATCTGGCCCTCTTTTGGTTTATTGATTTAGATACTTCATTATAGAACCTGAAGAAAATTTATAGGAAAGATTATTCTTGGTACAGACATCTGTTTTAAAAATAATTTAAAAAATTTTTTGTCCACATAGAATTATGTAGTTAATGAATTGAGTTAAATGTGGTTATGTGGATAAACAGTTCAGGTTGGATGAAAAGTCATACCGTCTTTCCTCTCGAGAACAAAGGGAATCAGCGTAATATGAAATTCCTCAGCTAATCTCCTTTCTTTAAAGTTGGAAAAACCCTACTGAATTATGTTGATGTTTTCTGATATCAATTTGATGACTTGTAAATAGTGTGTATTGTTATTACCGATTTGATAAGTAATTTTCCCAGTTCTGTGGGATTATTAGGTCTTTTCGTGTAGCTTAAGTGTTCTTTAGCACGAGTCGAGATTTCATGAGAAGACTCTCCAATATAGAACGCATCGAAATCGACAAAACGTAATTTGTAGACATAGTTTTGTATGGATGTAGGAAGAATCTTGTCCTTGATTCTAACTAGAGCGTTTCTTAGGGTTTTGATTGTTTTGTAGAAAGCTTTAATTCTGAATGTTTCCATAGGTCGTTTTAATTCTTCTGCGGAACTTTGGCAGTACAGTAAAACCACAGTACCAATCCAAGGACTTTCATCAGAATTGTTATTTATATATGTACTGTTTTGTTTTAATAAGCTGTTTATAATATTCATAGGAAAATGGTTAAGCAGTCAGACGCTTATTATATTGCCTTTTTCGTTCAGTTGATCTTCTTCAGAAGTAATGACTTTGGTAGCGCTTCTGAACAGATTCACAGTTAGGGAAATCTTATTAACTGAATAGATGTACAGAGTTACAGTCAATGTACCTATCCGAATGTGTTGGTTTTTAAGTGTTTAGTTAAATTTTAATTTCCATTAGTATTGTTTCTAGCTAAACAGTCAAAGAAAGGTAGTTCATTACATTCATCTTTTTACTAAGAAGGCATTCATCAGTTTAGATAACTTTCTAAGGAGTGTCTCATTAATGATGACTAATGTGTTATCTGCATATCTGAGCCAAATATATGGTCTGATGGTACTGGAAAATTAAGCTATTTGATACGAGATATAAACAAACTAGCAACAGTCAGGGATACCTGGAGATTCCGAGCCACTCCGTTAATTTGTTTACATAAAGTTATTTTGAAGGTAAACAACGTAGAATTTAAGCTTAATTTGAGAAATTTCCTGATTAGATAAATGTTAATCGGATAGATAAAGTTTTGTCATCTTCTGGTAAACCATTATTAACTTCTTAACATCTGTCAATTGGAATACTAATATATAGAGGGATACGACACCAGAGCTTACCATACATAGTCTCGCTCTTCCTGATAAATAATTCCGATATTTTTGATTCAAATTCATATGAATCCTTTACAACATTATTTAGGTTATATTGAAGTGACTTCAGTAAACTGCTTCGATATTTGGATCAAAGATATATTGGGAGTGTTTGTGAAGGTTCGTTATATATATTAAAGGAGTGTCAGGTATGTGAATTTTAGGTAGCCTGTAGTGGCCAATTACTGGGTGTTCTTAAGCTTGGTAACTATCTCGTCCGGACAATCTTTACTAACTAGCGTCTGACGGTTTATGAATCAGAAGGTGAACACAACGTGTTGAATACGTTTATTTTTGACACACTACAAGCGCATCAAAAATTGAAGTGATATTGAATTTGGGATATAAGTTAAATCATCAGGAGATGCCAATCAAATGTGTTGGTTGTTTTGAAAGTTCACTCGTCTCTGATTTAACTTTGTTCTTAACTATTTGGAAATTTTCTGAATCGATCTGTAGATATGGTCTTGTAGATAGTTAGATGTTAAGAGATTTTTGCTTATGACTACCGTTTTATTACCCCTGTTAGCCTTAGTAACGACAATCGCTCTGTCTTAGAGCTTAGAGCTGTCTATTTTTCTTTGAATAGGTTAGGTGGAAGACATTTTCATTTTTTTCCAAATTTCAAGTATTCTCTTCTCTTCCAATTAAATAACTAACACACACTGACATCAATATTTCAAATAAGTTTTAAATCTCCACTTTTAATTGTCTGGTTTAAAAATTACTATCTTTTTACAAAATGTAATCAGCAAAATAATTGGATAAAGGGAAATAAATCTCAACTTCGTATGGTATAAATAAATCATTGGTATACACAGAATAATTATATGAATTGAGTGTAATTTTATATAACACATTGATGACATAAGATTTTCCGCTGGTTTTGCATTATGGATTAAGATCGACTTCACAAAGTGACTAAAACCAAAAATAATAAACAGTCAGTAATTGTCACATCATTGTATATAAGATTGTGTGTGTTGCCCAGCCAAACAGTGAAAAACCCCATAATTTTATTTTCAATCTCATGGTAAAACATTTTCAATTTTTGAAACAAAAATTCAATGTATCTATTTTTTCAAATCGAGTCATTTAGACAGTGCAAAACAAGT